GCAGGAGCAGGAGCAGGAGCAGCAGAGGCGCACCCAATAGTGGTCCCACCTTGGGCAGATCCACTCCATACTACAACAGTGTTACTCCTTGAAGTCGGAGGTAGCTTTTGAGGCACCTCAGAAGCCGCAGCAGGCGCAGCAGAGGAGCACCCAACAGTAGTCCCACCTTGGTCGGATCTGATCCAAACTAACTTGCTTCTTGAAGACTTTTGAGACGTCCCAAAGGCCCCACCTTCGGCGAATTCATTCCAAACCACAACTGCCTTATCCTTTAGAATTGGAAATACTCTCTCACTGTACATTACCGTCCATCGCCGCGCTTTGCACGAGCCATGCAGGGTAGTTATAGCCGCCGGACCTGGCTCACAGCCTCGGAACCCACCCAGGGCGTCTGGGACGGCCGAACCTATTATAGACTCCCCTTACACTGCTACACTTTCTCCTCCACCTGCCTCCTTCCCCACTTCACCCTCCTTTCCACCCTCCTCTACCCCCGCCCCGGCCTTCTTTTCCTGCATCTCCCATGCGGCCCTGCACGCGCATTCCCTCCCCTTCCTGGTACAGCTGCCGAAAGCCCTGCACAGTCTGGGAGGCAGCAAGGAGGAGGGAGCGGGGAGAAATTAAGCAAGGAGACACGGGAAGCACGCACATTCCCTCCCCCTCCTGGTACAGCTGTCGAAATCCCTGCACAGTCTGAGGGGAGGAGGGGAGAAGAGGCGAGGAACCAGGAAGACTTACCTCGTGACGTGTACACCACTACAATCACATATGTTAGTCAGTCACATATATTTGGTAAAGTCACATATGTTCAATACAGTCACATAGTTTGTTACAGTCACATAAGTTCATTACAATCACATATGTTCGTTACATTCACATATGTTCATTAACCTCACCTTGGCCCTCCTTAGCATGCCAGAAGGTGCCTCCACCATTGCTACCCCGTCATCCACCCCCACCCCTCTCCCAGCACCAACCACCTCACATTCTCACACTCACATCTGTGCATCACATCGTAGTCACCTTGGCTCTTCTTAGCACGCCTGCTGCAACATCATCCGCCCCCCAACCCTCTCCCAGCACCACTGCCCTCCCCCCACTCATGTTCTCGCACTTATATCTGTGCATCACACTCACCTTGGCTCTTCTCAGCATGCCCGCAGCTACCTTCACCGTTGCTACAACACTATCCACCCCCCACCTCTCCCCCGTCACCAACCTGAGTGAAAGATCCACAGGCACTTACGTCGACGCAGTTCCCCCACCTGAGGCAAACGTAATCGACGGCATGTGGATTTTTAAGGTGAAGCAGCCGCCTGGATCGCCACATGTCTTCAAGGTGCGCTATGTGGCTAGAGGTTTTAATCATCGTGAGAGAGTTAACTTCTTCCAGACCTTCGCACCGACCCCAAAGATGACGATTCTTTGGGTATTACTTCACGTTGCAGCACAGCGAGACTACGAGTTGCGCTCCCTCGACTTCTCCACCGCCTTTCTCCAGGGCAGCATGCACGAGGAGATCTGGTTGCGTTGTCCTCCTAGATTCTCTGACACTTTCCCGCTTGGGACCTAGTGGAGCGTGAGGCGACCAGTCTACGGTCTCCACCAGGAGCCTCGTGAGTGTCACGACACGCTGCGCACTACTCTGGCTGCCCTCGGGTTTTGTCTTTCGTCCGCCGACCCATCGCTGTTCGCTCGTTCTGGGCCCACACCCTTCTTCGTCCTCGTCTACGTTGACGACTTGGTCTTTGCTACAGCAGACAGGACTGCATTCGCTGAGGTGAAGTCTGAAATGCAGAAGAGACACACGTGTACTGACCTTGGTGAGTTGCGTCGCTACCTTGGCTTGCAGATCACCAGGGATAGAGCCGCTCACATCATCATAATCATATATGGTGCGGCAGGTCCTTCAGCGGTTCGGGCTTCAGCACTCCACCACACAGCCCACTCCTCTTGCCATTGACCACAGACTCACCGACGAGCCTTTTGAGTCTGGTGGTCCCTACGCAGAGCTTGTGGGCCGCCTCATGTACCTCATGACTCATACTCGACCGTACCTCGCTTTTCCCCTCAGCGTCCTCTCTCATTTTGTTGCGACTGGGAGACACCGTCCTGTTCACTGGATAGCTGATGTGAGGGTGGCGAAGTACTTGGCGACTACATCAGGCATGGGGCTTGCTTGGAGGGACACAACCAGTTCACTGACTGGTCACTGCGACTCTTCCTACGCCGACGACGTGGAGATACAAAGGTCCAATCAGGGCTACTGCTTCAGCTTGGGCGCTGGAGCTATCTCGTGGAGTTCTATTTGGTCGTCTTCTGTGGCTTTGTCTAGTGCTGAGGTAGAGATCTACGGTCGTGCCATGGCTGCGCAGGAGCTTCACTGGTTGACATTCTTGCTGACCGACCTTGGTGAGCGGCCAAGCTCTGGACTGACATTTTTCGCTGACAACAAGGTCATGATCCCCCTGTATCGAGAGTCTCAACTGGAGAGCAGAGTGAAGCACGTCGACGTCAGGTACTTTCTCCTGTGAGAGTTGCAGCGACGTGGTCAGGCACGCTTGGACTTTGTGGCCTCAGATGCCAAAACTTCAGACATCTTCACCAAGGCCCTTCCGCTTGGTGACCATCACATGTTCTGTTTGCAGTTAGGCCTTGTTGACGTAAGCTCTTAGCTACAGTGGTATTGTCTCTTTTCGCTTGATGTACTTCTATATATGTATGCGAACACTTGAACTGGCCTTGTGACCTCTTGTTTTTGCTCGGAATTTGTGGGGACTTCGTGATCCACCATGAGCTTGCTGTGTTTCTTTTCTTGACTCATCTTATGACCACATGCATGCCATGTTTGTTTTGATGCCCCTCACTTAGCCTATGGGGGTGCGTCAAACTTTGGATATGTTATGCTCCGGTATGTTAGGGGGTACTCCCCCTCCTTTAACCTAGTCCCACCATTCTCTTGCTACTCAAGTAACCTAGTCCCACCACACACAACACCTCTTCCTCAAGCTATTTGTTCCAAGTATCCCTTCTTCGTCAATCTCAACCCTCACTTCCCCCTTCACAATGTGCATGGAAATACATTTCAGCATGCGCCATTATACAGTAAGACTGTCCATGCCATTTTATTTGCCACCTTACAGTTCTGAGTACGGTAAGTCCAGTCCCCATCCCCAGTTAATATACCATCACGAAATGATATTTACAAAATCTACTTGGCACAGGCGGGCCACTCTTTGGCGGCTAGGGCTCGCAACACTGCGGCTGCTGTCCATTGTTTTGCCGCCCTTTTTGAGGGCATCGCTTTACCTTCAATCCGTACTACCGTTGATCCGTCAGCTGCTTTTACCACACAATCCAGGCAATAGCCGTCACCGAGAAACCTGGAAATAAAAGAGATGGTATTAATAATTGAAACAATATTGATTTCACTGCATGGCGGATTATCTAATGAATGTAATAAGCACTTACGGTACTTACCTGGGAGCACCAGTGTTGCCACTAGCAGGTTCAGAGCTGGCACCACCAGCCGCCCCCCAACCACCACCAGCCGCCTCCCAACCACCACCAGCCGCCTCCCAACCACCACCAGCCGCCTCCCAACCACCACCAGCCGCCCCACAGCCACCACCACCAGCCCCCCATCCACCACCACAAGTAGCACTGGTAGAGTAACCAGCGCTTGAATCACCACCGTTGATTACACCACAATTGCTAGATCCAGCATTCATTGGCACATCCCCACCAACAGCAGCAGCAGCAGCAGTAGCAGGAGCAGCAGCAGGAGCAGCAGGAGGAGCAGCAGCAGGAGCAGCAGCAGCAGGAGCAGCAGTAGGAGCAGCAGCAGGAGCAGCAGCAGGAGCAGCAGCATGAGCAGCAGCATCAGCAACAGGAGCAGCAGCAGCAATAGCAGCCGCAGCAGCAGTAGCATCCGCAGCAGTAGTAGCAGCAGGAGCAGCAGTAGCAGCAGCAGCAGCAGCAGCAGCAGCAGCAGCAGCAGCAGCAGCAGCAGCAGCAGCAGCAGCAGCAGCAGCAGCAGCAGCAGCAGCAGCAGCAGCAGCAGCAGCAGCAGCAGCAGCAGCAGGAGCAGGAGCAGCAGGAGCAGGAGCAGCAGGAGCAGCAACAGCAGCAACAGCAGGAGCAGCAGCAGCAGGAGCAACATCAGGAGAAGCAGCAGGAGCAGGAGCAGCAGCAGCAGCAGCAGCAGCAGCAACTGCAGCAGCAGTAGCAGCAGAAGCAGGAGCAGCAGCAGCAGCAGCCGCAGCCGCAGCAGCAGCAGCAGCAGCAGCAGCAGCAGCAGCAGCAGCAGCAGCAGAAGGCGCTGCAGGCGCAGCAGCAGTAGCAGGAGCATCAGCAGCGTCAGGAGCAGGAGCAGGAGCAGGAGCAAGAGCAGGAGCTGGAGCAGGAGCAGGAGCAGGAGCAGGAGCAGGAGCAGGAGCAGGAGCAGGAGCAGGAGCAGGAGCAGGCGCAGCAGGTGCTGCAGGCGCAGCAGGTGCTGCAGGCGAAGCAGAGGCGCACCCAACAGTAGACCCACCTTGGGCGGATCCAATCCAATCTACAGCAGACTTGCTCCTTGAAGACTTTTGAGACGTCTCAAAGGCCCCACCCTGTGCGCATCCACTCCAAACCAGAACAGACTTGCTCCTTGAAGTTGGAGATACTCTCTGGTATACTACCATCCAATGCCGCGCCTGGCACAAGTTATTCAGGGTGGTTACAATTGCCTGACCTGACACACAGCCTCGGAACCCATCTAGGGCGTCCAGAGCGGCCGAACCTATCAAAATCTCCCTTTTTACTGCTCCTGCTCCTGCTGCTGTTGCTGCTGCTGCTGCTTCTTCCACCCCTTCCACTGCTCCTGCTGCTGCTGCTGCTGCTGCCACCCCTTCCACTGCTCTAGCAGCTGCTGCCGCCTCCCCCATTCCTGAATTCCCTCGCTTCCTCTTCCTTCCTACTGCCTTTGCTCCTGCCCCGGCAGCTGCTGTCGCCTCCCCCATTCCTTACTTGCCTCGCTTCCTCTTCTTTCCTCCTGCCTTCGAATTCCCATCATTACACTCACTTTTCCCTCCATTCTTAACAGAACCCTCAGGCACAACTCCCTCCATACCTGCTACACCTTCTCCTCCTCCTGTCGCTTTCCCCGCTTCATCCTCCTTTCCTCCCTCCTCCACTCCCTCATCGCCTTCCTCTGCCTGCATCTCCCATGCAGCACTCATAGGCCCCACAACCCGTGCCCTCTCTGCCTCCTGGTACAGCTGCCGGAAGCCCTGCACGGTCGGGGGGGAGAGTGGCGCGGAGAGGGAGAGGGGAAGAAAGAGGGGAGGAGGGACTGCTTCCTCTCAACACACCGCCGCCTCTACCTCCTGGTACAGCTGCCGGAAGCCCTGCACAGTCTGAGGGGATGGGGGGAGAGAGGCAAGGAGGCGGGAAGAGGGGAGAGTGGAAAGCAGGCGTGATCATGCGAGCACCAGCTAGTTTGAAGGGCCTCGTAGGCCCCGTGAACCCGTGCCCTCTCTGCCTCCTCGTACAGCTGCCGGAAGCCCTGCACAGTCTGAGGGGAAGGCAAGGAGAAGAGTCGAGGAGGCAGGAAGAGAGACGGAAGACAAGTGGACAAGGTCATTTAGAAAGCAGGCGGGAATTCACACCAGTACAATCACATACGTTCATTACACTCACCTTGGCTCTTCTCAGCACATCAGAAGCTGCTTCAACTGTTGCTGCCACGTCATCCACCCCCCACCCCTCCCCCAGCACCACTCCTCTCACCTCCACTTCCAAAACCACCCCCACCTCCCCCACCTCCCCCTCCTCTGCTCCTCCACCTCCTCCTCTACTCATCCGCAAGCGATTTTCACACAGCCCATTTTCCATTCCCTTCCGCTCCCCACCTTTCTCTCTCACACCACTCCCACACACCATCCCGCCGTCCCTTTCCCCACCCTCCTCATCCTTCCACGCACCATCCCCATTCCCGTCCCCCTCCGTTTTCCCTTTCCCCCACTCCCGCCCAAGGATAAAAAATACGGCTATCGTATTATACGGGGCGTTTTTTTCGATGGTATAATACGTTCGGTTTTCCAAAAATTTTGTCGTTTTTTTGTTGGCCCTTTTTGAGTCAGAATTTTTCCAGAATCTACTGAAATGGCTACAACAAAGACTAGGAAACCGATAACAACCTACAATAAGGAGAAACAGGCATGCTAAGGTCCACTAATTCTGCCGCTACCCCTATGCATACATAGGCAAGTACCGGCCTTTAGCCTATATCTCCTCCTAAGTCCATCCCCACCCCACTATACTCACCCCACTGCCTTCTATTCTTCTACTCCACCACCTCGTCATCCTCTTCCTCCTCCCTCCCCACTCTAACCGTCATACTCCTCGTCATCCTCTTCCTCCTCCTCCTCCTCCTCCTCCCCACTTGAACCGTCGCTGCAATCCCAGGCATATCGCCCCTTGGGATTCAGGGCAGGTTCTTCCTCCTCCCCACCGCTCTCTTCCGCCTCCTCTTCCTCCTCTGCATCCCCTGCTTTTCCTTTCCCCTTTCCCTTGCATGCACCGTTGCCCTTCCCCCTCTTCTTCCCTTTAGATGACTTACCCGCCTTCCCTTTCCTCTTCTTGCCGATGCTCCCAAATTCCGACCAATCAATGGTGCATTCCTCCTCCACGGGTGCCTCCTCCTCCGCATCCCCTTCCTCCACCTCCACTTCGGCCGGGATGATGGCAGCCCCTTCCCTGAGGGTGCCGTTGCCCAGGTCCTGATAGAGCTTGGAACGCAGGGCTGCCTTTCGATCAAAGGCATCACGGGCCCGCCGGGTGAAGGCGACGAAGGTGACGTCAATCATCTTCTTCGCCGTGAGGCGGTTCCGGTCGCGCCTCTGCACACGTGCTAGCGCCGACCAGTACCTCTCCACTTCGGAGGTGACTGGCTGTGACAAAGACGTCACAGCCAGGTCTTGGAGCGCCTGCACCTCCCCACCAAACAGGAACCACCATTCCGCCTCCGTCATGCGCCCCGCCTCCACCAAGGTAGTTGCTGCCCAACGGGCATCGTCAGAGCCCAACCTGCCCTCCCCTCGGTGAAACTGAGCCACCTGTGCAGCTAGCGTTATGCGCTGCTGCACATCTCCGCCCCGGGCCTGGATTACCTCATCCACCCCCTTCCTAATCTCCTTGTCATTCCTTACCTCCCCAATGTACAGGTTACGGGGGCTGAGGAGCCAACCGATGGCATGCAGGGGGTTGTGCAGTCGTGCGTCCCACCTCCTGGCAATGATCGCCTTGATGGAGGTGAGGAAAGTGCTCTTGTCCTTCGGCAACAGCAGACCCGTCCGCTTGATGAAGTGTGCGGCTGCTTATAGTGAATAAAGAGCACTAATTAGATAGGAAGCATGAGCGGGTGGGAGGAGAGATTAACAATCAATACCCATCGCGTAAAACTTTCAGCCGTCTCACTCACCAGCCGTCTCAGCCGCCGCATTAGTCTTCACCGTGGCTTCAAGCATGAGGCCGTACAGCTGCCCCATGACTTGAGCCCGTGTGTCGACGGCGCGGAGAACCTCGTAGATGGGAGTCATGAGGCGGTGCACGGCCGTCCCACAGTCCCAAAAAACGTCGTCCAAAAGCAGCTTCCTAACCTCCATCCCCTCCTCCGTCCGTGCCACTGCTACATCCTCCCATTGCTCGTTGATTACCATCGCCCTCAACGCGCGCTTCACCTCAAGGAACCTGCCGAGCATGATGACCTGGGTGCCAAATCTCGTTGCACCAGGCCGCACCAACGAGAGCTTGGTAAAAAGCTCATGGAACAAGACCACGGCCGAGGTGTGAAAATTTTGACGAGAGAAGGGGATTGCACTAGAAAGAATGGGGATACAAATAGCAAACCCTAGAAGGGTTGTACTCGCTATAGAGCACCCCACTACAGGCTAAAGCATAAGATAACATTCTGACACACCCCCATAGCCAAAGTGGGGTGTAATCAGCAGAGCAAGCAAAGCAGTACAAGCTCAGGGTGGATCACAATGTCACCACACATTCTGAGCACAAGTTCAAGAAGCAATAGTTTAAAGTTAACAATTATGAGCAAAGCTAGTGGTAGTCACAACGGGCAAGTGAGGAGGAGGAGAGAGAGAGAGAGAGGAGAGGAGATAGGAGGCAAGGTCTGAAGCTGCAGACACACGGGCAACAGGAGGCACACTGGCACAGCGGCTACCGGAACAACGCTCCGGAATACTGGAGTAACTGGCCCCGCGGCTAAAGTAGCGGCAGACGACCAACAGACCCACGGGCGGCTTGCACAGCTGGCTACGACTGGGCTACCGGACGAAGTCCCCGGAATACAGGTGCTGCTGGCGACACGACGGCAACCTCCATTCAGCTTCCCCAAACTATCCCACTCCCCCTGGCACACACCCGCTGCTACACCGCTAGGGTCACTCACACCCCACCCCCTAGCACGACTCCGTCGACTCCCACACACCCACCCCCCTCAGCGGCAGCTGCAGCAGTGGGAGACAGAGGAGGAGGAGCAGGGGAGACCACACACCCGCCACCCCCTACTCGCCACTCCCCAAACCCTAACACAGGGCAGGGCAGGATGGCGGGTAGGGAGGTTACGGGGGGGGGGGGGGGGACCGATGCGCAGCCTCCCAGGGCGCCACAACAGGCGGCAGAAGGGGCGGCGCCCGCCCCCCTCCCCCAGGTCGCGGCCCCCGAGGGAGCCGCGACGGGCGACGCGAAATGGCCGGGGCGGGGCCGGGGCCGTGCAAGGGCGGCGACGGGGTCGCTGCGGGCGGCGATGGGGCCGCTGCGCGCGGCGACGGCGCGGCCGATGCGGGCGGGGACGGGGTCGCTGCGGGCGGTGACGGGGCCGCTGCGCGCGGCGACGGGGTCGCTGCGGGCGGCAATGGGCCTGCTGCGGGTGGCGACGGGGCCGATGCGGGCGGCGACGGGGCCGACGTGCGGGTCCCCGTCGCCCGTAGCAGCGCCTCCCGAGGGCGACGCGCCGAGTGACGGGGCAGAAGCCCGCCGCGCGCCTCGGGGCGCACAGCGGGCCGAGAACCGCCGCGCGCCTCGGGGCGAACGGCGGGCAGAAAACCGCCGCGCGCCTCGGGGCGCACGGCGGGAAGAAAAACTGCCGCACGCCACGGGGCGTGCGGCACAGAGAGTAGCAGTAGCAGTTGCAGCGGAAGCAACGAGGTGGTGAGCCCACCCACAGGATCGATCCAAGAGGATCGACCTGCTCTGATAGCATGTTAAAATTTAGAAGAGAGAAGGGGATTGCACTAGCAAGAATGGGGATACAAATAGCAAACCCTAGAAGGGTTGTACTCGCTATAGAGCACCCCACTACATGCTAAAGCATAAGATAACATTCTGACACGAGGCGGGGCCTTTGATCATCATCACGACCTGATGCACTTGGGAAAGGACGAGTTCCACGGCAGGGATCTTGCCGATGTCGTGCAGCATGAGGTCGAGGCAGTGGGCGGCGCAGTTGGTGAAGAAGATATGGGGATAATCCGCGCTCAGCTTGCTGGCGGCGTTTTTGTTGTTCGAAGCGTTATCCATCACGACTTGGACGACATGCTTCGGCCCCACAGTGGTGATCGCTCCCTGAATAAGCGTTGCCAAGTAGTCCCCGATTTTTTTGGCGGTCTTCGAGTCAACGATGTCGACGATGACGGGTGCGGTGTCATTTTGCGAGATGACACACACAAATACGCGGGATTTGATGTCCGTCCATCCATCGACGGAGAGCGAGCACCCGCTGGTCTTCCAGCTCTCCTTCAGCGGCCGCAGCAGGTCCTCGGAGTCCGCCTTCAGCTTGTCCAGCAATGGGCCGGATACCTTGTACGGGGTTGGGAGGGTGTACGGTTTCGCGTACATGATCACCGCGTCAACGAACGCGTGGATCGATTTCGACTTGCTGGCGTTGAAGGCGAGGTCGTTCTCGGCAACTGCAGCAGCCCACAGGTAATCCAGGCGATTATGCGCAACTTGGTCCGTCATATCACGGATATCTCGCTGCCGGAAGCGCCGCACGGGCGGCGCCTCCACCGAGGACGTGGAGGCACGGGTTGATCCTCCCGTAGCATTTTCCGTGGTCGAGCGCTCCTGATCGGCTGTCGCCCGCAGCTGCTTAGCGTAGTCCGACTTGCACATCGCAACGTTCTTGTCCCTCTTGTTAGTGCCGAACATGTGCTTGCCTATCGTAGTCGCATTAGCCGTCACAGGATTCTTGCAATGAATGCAAGTAGCACCGACTATGTTGCCTTCCTCATCCTTAATCTTAATGACGTGCTCCCAAAACTGAGAAGCAGGGCGCACCATGGCGTTCCACTAGACTATGCTGAGAAAGCGTGGGTCGGAGATTGTTGTTCTGAGATACGGCAACCAAAGAGAGGATGTGTCGAATGGGATTTTCCTCCTCCAATATGTATCTCTTTGTGCTGCTTTGTCGAGGGGTGTTTGAAGAATGGATGACGTGAGATGGGAGATGGATTAGCGTATTACTATTGGCTGGAATTGTGTCGCGCGCAATTGTGCGAGGCGTCAGGATTGGGGGCGAAAAATAAACCCAGCGCGCGAGTTGTGCTAACGACTCCACGAAACGGGTACCAAGGTTGAAGGGGTTCGCCAATGGTGTACATTTCCGCACCTCGGAAATTTGGTGTCGTCGCGATTCGGCGAACTACTCAAACCACTCAGCGAAATGGGTAAGCGATTTTATACCGTTCGTCAGATGTCAAAATGTCTCGCCACGCCATTTTCCTGACATGCGCGACTCGGGCCAAATTCGGGCGAGACTGACAAGACTTCTCACGAAATCCCCCAAAACGAACTCGACGGGGCTGATTGTTGAAATTCGGTGTACACTTTCTCCGTTCTAAAAATTCGGTCGAAAAAAACGATCGTATTTTTAATCGAAATTTTAAAATAACATTTAACCGTACTAAACTGTTTTAAACGAACGTATAATACGATACCGTATAATACGGCCCTAAAATCAATATTTCGGTCGTATTTTTTATCCTTGCTCCCGCCCCCCACTCTCCCCCCACGGCAAGTAAATAGGGGGGGGGAGGGCGAGGGCGCCGCAGAAGAGGAGCAGGGCGGAGGGGGGATGGAGGGAGAGGGGAAGCAACAGAGGGATTGGGGAGAGCCATGAAGAAACCACTTGCCACGTGCGGGCGAGAGGGCATGAGAGATGGAGATGTGCAAGGGGGTTGAATGCAGTCCAAGGGGTGTTTGGAGGAGTGGAGTCGAGGAAGACTGCTGCAATGAGGGCCTATATAAGATCAGGAACCTCCTGGTAGGAGATCAAGTGAGGAGGGGAGAGAGATAGGAAGAAGAGAGGGGAGGGAGGAGGGAAGAAAGGAGGGGAGGGAGGAGGGGAATTGTCAACAGTGTTGCAGCATGGCGAAGGAAGAGGAATGTATGTGGGTAATGGCATGACTTTATTAGAGTCGACTGAAAAGGCAAGAGGAATGCATGTATGTGTGTGGGTACGCCTAGCCGTTTTAAGATTTGCAGCGCGTCAAGAATGCTGAGACGCAAGAGATTGTATATATGTATGTATGTATGTATGTATGTATGTATGTATGTATGTATGTATGTATGTATGTATGTATGTATGTATGTATGTATGTATGTATGTATGTATGTATGTATGTATGTATGTATGTATGTATGTATGTATGTATGTATGTATGTATGTATGTATGTATGTATGTATGTATGTATGTATGTATGTATGTACGTACGTATGTATGTACGTACGTATGTATGTATGAATGCATGAATGCATGCATGGATGTTGTGTGTGTGCGTGCGTGCGTCCTTCCGTCCGTCCGTCCGTCCGTCCGTCCGTCCGTCCGTCCGTACGTACGTACGTATGTACGTACGTACGTACGTATGTATGTATGTATGTATGTATGTATGTATGTATGTATGTATGTATGTATGTATGTATGTATGTATGTATGTATGTATGTATGTATGTATGTATGTATGTATGTATGTATGTATGTATGTATGTATGTATGTATGTATGTACGTACGTATGTACGTACGTATGTATGTATGTATGTATGTATGTATGTATGTATGTATGTATGTATGTATGTATGTATGTATGTATGTATGTATGTATGTATGTATGTATGTATGTATGTATGTATGTATGTATGTATGTATGTATGTATGTATGTACGTATGTATGTATGAATGCATGAATGCATGCATGGATGTTGTGTGCGTGCGTGCGTGCGTGCGTGCGTGTGTGTGTGTGTGTGTGTGTGTGTGTGTGTGTGTGTGTATGTGTGTGTGTGTGTGTATGTATGTATGTACATGTACGTATGTATGTATGAATGCATGAATGCATGCATGGATGTTGTGTGCGTGCGTGCGTGCGTGCGTGCGTGTGTGTGTGTGTGTGTGTGTGTGTGTGTGTGTGTGTGTGTGTATGTGTGTGTGTGTGTGTGTATGTATGTATGTATGTGGGTAGGCCTAGCCGTTCAGATCTTTGCAGTGCATAAAACAAGATTGGGATTGGGCAAGAGGGACGCAAAAGGGACGCAAGAGGGGCGCAAGACGAATTGGGCAGCCCCGAGTAGAAAGAAAGGCGAGGCATTCAAAGGTTGTACCAATGTGGATAGAAAGTAAGTGGTACAGGCAAACAGACAGTACGTCAGTACCATCTATAGGGTTACATAATTACCTGCTTGCTCATATGGTTACACGGCGTTACCTTGCGGAACGGCTTCTGTTCATCATCAATGTCATCACCATTGCCCATTTGCCCTCTCCCCACGTCCTCCCCTCTCCCCACGTCCTCCCCTCTCCCCACGTCCTCCCCTCTCCCCACGGCCTCCCCTCTCTTGATTACAGCCTGCTGTAACATCCTCTGTGATCCAACCCTGCCTTCTCTACTGAAATTCACTTCCTCCTTCCCGTCCTCCTCCCCATCCTTCTCCTTCTCCTTCCCCTCCTCCTCCCCATCCTTCTCCTTCTCCTTCCCCTCCTCCTCCCTTCCCGATTCCCAAGCAGCCACATGTGCCAACTCAGCTGCATCGGCAGCAGCAGCCTTCGCCGCCCGCTGTATCTTGCGCACCAATCGCAGCAGCCCACGGCACGCCGCCAGCTGGCAAAACCGCTTCATGTTGTTCACAACCATGCGCAGGTTCGTTAGCTGGTGCGGGGACGGCCGGGTGGCGTGCGCTGACGTGGCAACGTGCGAAGGCATGGCAGCGTGCAATGACGTGGCATGTGGTGACGTGGCGGCAGGAGAATGGGCCGTCACAGATGTTGCTTGCACCATGTGGTGCATGAGAAGAAAGTCCAGCACAGCTTCCCCCAGGAACACAAACCGTCTCTGCCACTTCAACCCCTCCTCCCGAATCGCCACTTTCAGTATCCCCTCATTTCTGAATCGATACCCCATCGCATTCTGAAGCTCCAGCAGCCAGCCAGCTGCTGCCACGTGGCACCTGGGGTTCGTTCTGGCGGTGGAAGGTTCTGGGAAGCTGGGCAAAGTCAGCTGCTGCTGCTGCTGCTGCAAGCATTCTATAACCTGCACACCCTGCACCTGCTGCTGTTCCTCCTGCTGCCCATCCTGGTGCTGCACGCATTCCCCTTCAAGCAGCTTATGCCGCTTTTCTGGTGGCTGAAGTGGCAGCTCGAACGGATGTCTAGTTTGCTTTTCAGTCGACTCAAAAGTCAGCCCATCCTGGTGCTGCACGCATTCCCCTTCAAGCAGCTTATGCCGCTTTTCTGGTGGCTGAAGTGGCAGCTCAGCTTCTCTGGCGGCTCAAGTAATAGCTCAAAAGGCTGTTTAGTTTGCTCCCATGCGTGTCTTGTTGCCACTCACCCTTTGCTCCAATTCTCTCATCTCGTGCTCCCATCTCTCGTGCTCCCATCTCTCCCCTCAGCACCTCTCTCCCCCTCCACCCCATCTCTCCCCTCAGCACCTCTCTCCCCCTCCACCCCATCTCTCCCCACCTCTCTCCCCCTCCACCCCATCTCTCCCCTCAGCACCTCTCTCCCCCTCCACCCCATCTCTCCCCTCAGCACCTCTCTCCCCCTCCACCCCAATCTCTCCCCTCAGCAGCTCTCCCACGCCCTCTGATGGCACGTCCAGCGCCATATCTGGGTTTGCTGCAACGCCCAGCACCCCTCTCTTTGCCACCCCCTCCGCCTCTCTCCCCCTCCACCCCGTCTCTCCCCTCAACAGTTCCCCCACGCCCTCCGTAGGCAGGCCCAGCCACCTCAGCACCGGCAGCGCCATGTCAGCGCCGCCGCACCGCCAGCTGGCGCCCACCAAGGCCTCTGCCACGTCAGCCAGCCTTTTTTTGGTTGAACGGCTCGCTGACTTGGCTGCTGGCTGTGCCACTGCCAACGAGGCAAAGGCGGAGTCCAGAAGGGCTTTGGGGCTAGGAGAAGGGTTCTGGGAAGATGCGGTAGCTCGAGAGTGTGAGGGGGAGTGTGGTTGGAGGAGCGAGTGAGAGAGGGAGTCAGCCAGAAGCAGCACAGCGTGCGTGGGAGGGACTAGGGGGCCGATCCAATCCGTGGGTGTGAAGGGCTTGCAGCGAACGAGGGCGGGCACTCCGGCTTTAACTGCCCGCGCTGCCAGGTGCTTGTTTGACACCAGCTTCACGCAGTGCCGTCTCAAGTGAACGTATGACGGCCCAGCTGGCCGTCTCTTGGAGACTGGTGGCAGGGACGACTCGCTGTGTGGCGCATGTGATTGCATCGCGGCAATGCTCTCAGCGTATGCTGAGCCGTTGCTTACGCCCACGCCCACGCCCAGCGTATTCTTGTTCCCATGCCCATGCCTCTGCTTATGCCCACGCCCACGCCCATTATCCTGCTGCTGACGTGGCAGCAGAGTGGAGAACAGGTGGCAGGATGTGGCGAGCTGCACACAGCTGTCACCGAGAATCTCGTCATTCTCGTAGGTGCCCACGCCAGGGCATTCCAGGGCGCGCAGGAGCTGAGAGGGGGAATGGAAGAGGGAGGGATGTTGGTGGGTGGAAAGGGGTGGTTGAGTTGAGAGGCATTGATGCATTCTCGTAGGTGCCGACGCCGGGGCATCCCAGGGCACGCAGTAGCTGAGGGGTGCAGGGAAGGAAGTGAGGGAGGGTGAGAGGGAGGGAGGGAGGGAGGGAGGGAGGGAGGGAGGGAGGGAGGGAGGGAGGGAGGGAGGGAGGGAGGGAGGGAGGGAGAGAGGGAGGGAGGGAGGGAGGGAGGGAGGGAGGGAGTGAGGGAGGGAGGGAGGGAAGGAGGGAGGGTGGGAGGGAGGGAGGGAGGGAGGGAGGGAGGGAGGGAGGGAG